TGAGGGAGGGAGGGTGGGGAAGGAGGGGGAAAATGAGGAGCTGATACCAAGGGGTCAAGTAGAAAGCAAATGTTTTGGAATGATGATGGCAAAAATGTACAAAAGTGCTTGACACAATAGATGTATGTATGGATTGTGATAAGGGCTGTATGAGCCCCCAATAAAATAATTTAAAGGAAAAAAAAGAACTAAAAGGGCTATTGGCTGAGGGATGTTTCTGAAAGATATAATGTCATGTTATAAAGGTTCTGGCCGGAAGAGTTGCAAAACTGGATGGACAACTTTACTTAGCCCTCTCAGGACCCAGAAAAGTAGTTAATGATTTATATTTACAGACACATCAAGCTTAGATAGGCTGGCACACTGCTACCCAAACCATCTTTACTCAAACTGTGAAGTTGATATTAATGTTCCCTGGCTTCTCACCTCTACACTTAGCTGCCCTCTGCTCTGCTTTCAGGATCAGAGTCACATGTTAAGCGACCAGAGTTTTAATCCTCAATGAGATCAGCCAGGGAGAACAGTGGTGCTCCAGAAACCGGGGGATCTGATGGGGATGCCCAACTGTGGCAGACATCAGGAGCCCTGCTGCCACCATGGGTTAAGTGCTTCCCTGTGGACAGGAAGGCTGGCTGCCTCCCTCGCATTGTCACCAGCCTCTCTGTGTGAGAAGGATGAGGCAGTCTGTTTTCATGAAGATTATGGAGTAGTTCTATTCTGTCCTATAGGGTTGCTTTAAGCTTTAGATTTGGCATGCCTTTTTTGGGGGTTTATTTATAAAATATTTGGTTTAAACGAACCTATCTCTATTTTCATTTCTTCTTTTTTTATTTTCCACATTGAATAATAAAAAAAAACCAACTCCACTGCCATTGGGTCATTTTGACTCATAGTGACTCCACAGGACAGTGTAGAACTGCCTCTGTGGGTGTCCAAGACGGGACATTTTCAGGGGAGTAGGAAGCCTCCTCTTTTTCCCATGCAGCGGCTGGTGGTTTGGAACTTCTTACCCTGTGGTTAGCAACCCAACTCGTAACCACTATGCCACCAGGACCCCTTTCACACAGACTGCTCTAGCTAATTGCACCATCTTCATGTTTAATCTAGTGTCTGTCCTGACCACGTGTGGGCTTTCCTAGTGGGTTACTTGGATTAGACCAGTGGTTCTCTGTGCATTGGAATCATCTGGAGGGTTTTTTTTTATTATTAAATACTTTTATCGGGGGTGCTTACATCTCTTATCACAATCCATACGTTCATCCATTGTGTCAAGCACATTTGTACATGTGTTGCCCTCATCATCCTCAAAGCATTCTCTCTCTACTTGAGCCCTTGATATCAGCTCATTTCCCCTCCTCCCTCCTCCGCCTTCCTTCCCTCATGAACCCCTGATAAGTTATAGATCATTATTTTCATATCTTACATCATCCTCTGTCACCCTTCTGGAGGTGTTTAAAACAACATCTGGAGGTTTTTTAAAACACAAGTTTCTGGACCCATCCCCAGAGTTTCTGACCAAACTTTGCATCTCTACCAAGTTCTCTGGAGATGCCGATGTTGCAGATGCAGACACCATATTTTTGACATCCACTGAGTGGGGGGAAAGAGTCCCGGTAGCACAGTGGTTAAGGGTTTGACTGCTAACTGAAAAGTCTGCCTACACCAGCTGACAGGCTGCTCCTGAAATCCTTCCACATAGTATCTAACTAACATTGCCTCTGTTTTGTTAGCTACTATGTGTTGAGGTTTCAAAAAGACCATGTAAAACTTTCATTATTATTTTTTGTTTGTTTGAGATGAACTTGTTTGTCCGTGTAGACTCCAAGTCCATTGCAATTTTACTTTTCCTTCTCTCTCTCTCTCTCTGCTTTAAAAAGCCACTCAAACCACTAGTCAGGTTGGAGGGATAAGGAATTTGGAGAGATATTTTTTAAAAAGAAACAAACTCTCTATATTTACGCAGATCATCTCACAAACTGAAATCACCATTTCTTGTTGTTATTGTAAAGCTTCCATTATATTTCCGTTCCATTTTTTCCCATGAACTTTTGAAGCCCCCTCATATGATGCTGAATCCAGCCACAGGTTATGCAATTGTGTTTTAAAACATGGTGAAGTGCTTTTCCTCTGGTGGAACTGTATTTTAAGTTAGCTAAAATAAATGAGTGATGATAGCCTTCGGCATCACTTTTTGCAAACTTAGAGGGGAAAATGCCATTATTTCCATTTCTGAAAGAAGGCACGTTTAATGAGCATAACGTGGCGTGAACCAGTGTCAGCTGTTCCAATCCACCAGCCACCCGACAGGAGAAAGAAGAGGCCATCTATCTGCTCCCATAAAGATCCACTGTTTCTGAAACCCTGAAGAAGGCTGCACTGAGTTGGGATTGACTCAATGGGAGTGAGTTTTGAGAGTTGGGACTATTGCACAAGCCTCAGGATGGGTTTCCCAGTTTGCACCATGCCCCCCCTCCCCATGTGAGTCTCTTTTCCACACAGCCTCCAGTGGGGTCCTGTGAAAACACAAATATGATCAGGCTGATGCTTTGCTCAGAATCTTCTAAAGTCTACTCGTTCCACTCAACGTCATTGCACAGCTACCGACATAGGATGGAGCTTTGGTTTGTCAGTGGTTGAAGTGCTCGGCTCATAACCCAAATGTGGCCAATTGGAACCCAGCAATTCTTCTGTGGATGCAAGAGAGGGCCATCTTCTTCGGAACAAGCCACTGCCTTGGCCACACGAGTCGGCGATTCTACTGAACCCTACAGGGTCACTGTCGTTTGGAAATTACTCCACAGCAGTGGGATTTTTTTTTTTTCTTTTAACAACAGAGGACCCAAACGGGACATCCTCTGAATATTCGAGGTCCTTTCTTGTTTCAGATCAGGGTTTTTCTCACAGGATCTGTTTGTAGTGTAGAATATTCCTGTCCAAGAAATTTATATATTTTATTCTCTATTTCCTTCGGGTCTTTTCTCAAATGTCATCTTCTCTATTTACTATACTTTCCCTCTACACTCTCTCCCTTTCCGCCTTAATACACCCCTTCCTAATTTTCTATTCACCTATCTGCCTTGATATCTATTTCTATATACATGCATGTGCTAGATTTACTTTTTTTTAAAGGATGTAGACTATGACTTCTGTGATCTGATCGTGCCGAATTACTGTTGCCTGGAGCTTAGTACCCAGCACATAGTAGTTTCTCAACGGATTTTTGCTGAATGGATGAATTAGGCCAGTGGTAGAAAAGACATTGGTTAGTAGCTGGAGAACTAGGTGTCAGTTTGTGCTTTAGACTGTGATAAGGGGTGTGACTTTGAAAAATCAGTTGCCTTTCTTCTCCTTTTTGTGCGCATCTCCGAAATGGGGAAGTACTATTTGCGCCACATGGCTCATTGACTTTGGGTGAGCTAAACAAGAAAATCTGTAATTTACTACACACACACATGCACACACACACACGAGTTGTTAAGTGTACCAACCCTATGCACCAAGGACTAAAATACTGCCCAGCCGGTGCTAGCCTCACACTCATTCCTCTGCCTGAGCCCATTGTTGCAGCCGCTGTTGGTCATCTTATTGAAGGGCTTCCTCCTGAAGACCCACTTTTATTGTTTCCACTGCTTATATAGCCTAGTGAGCAGCTAGATTCATGCCCGCCTCCCTTTGAACCACTCTCTAGTTGAACCAAGGGTCGAGTTAACAGGACAATCTGTATTGTCCTCTGGAGGTTTGATGGATCTTTTGTGGACCCCTTGCATCACCTGATTGAACATATGAGAAGACATTGAAAATGAATAAGAACTTGCCACCAGGGTCTGCTATGTGCCTGGTGTTCTACATATCTATTAACCCATGTCATCCCCATCACGACTTTATAGGGAGGGAATATAGGCCTATTTTTAGGGAAAGAAATCGAACTTTAGCGAGGTTTAGAATCTCCTAGGGGAGAATCTATATCTGTTTGACTCTAAAATCAAATTCCCACCCACCTCTTTAAATTGCCTTTTGGACCCAAGGAGCTTGAACGTGAATAGTTTTGCTCCTATGGACGGTGTTCTGACTGCTGTGTTCTTTCTTGTCAGACTGTGTACGACCAGTGGTTCATCACTCTTTTCAACATTGTCTACACGTCGCTGCCCGTTTTAGCCATGGGGATTTTTGACCAGGTATGTGTTTGACTCTATCCTTATCACTTAGTTTTCTCTGTCGAATCCTTTGAGTTGCTTCTATCTACTACACTTGAGCTTAACCAAAAGGCCGAGAAGCCATAGCTGCTTCTGTCTTGTAAGGCTGATTCAGGGAAAGAGTCTCTGAAGTGTAATTGGTCGAGGGGTGTTGGTGGAGCACAAGCTCTTCCAGAATCCTTTCCTCCAACACACTATCTGATCAAAGCTTGGCTGCTATCGTCTTAAGGGTCATACTTCACATTCGGGGTCCCCAGTGAGTAGTCTTTAACTTCATTTAGCTGGCATTTCCCAAACTCATGTGACTGCCGTTCCCACCCTACCTCTCCACCACCATGTGTCAACTATTAGTAGGGTCCCTGGGTGGTGAAAACAGTTAATCTGCTTAGCTGCTAACTGAAAGGCTGGGGGTCCTCGTCCACCAGAGGTGCCCTGAAAGCAAGATCTGGTGATCTATTTATCTCAAAATCCATCAGTGAAAACCCGATGGAGCACAGTGTACTTTGACACACTGGTGCCACCTGAGTCCGAATTGACTTTGAAGGCGACTTGTTGAGTTCTCACTCGCCAATGAAGATCTCAGAACCGGTGTCTCCTGGCTCACACGTGGGAATGCTGCATTAGCCGCTGTGAGTTTGTTCGGAACCAGTCACTGATAGAAAACTAGGGAACTAGATGTGCCAAGCATTTACAATGGGGCTTCTTTGGCCAGCACAGCCCCAGAACCCTACAGGCAAGCATAGCAGTCTGCCAAGAGGAGAGGAGGATGCAGAGCCCCCTGCCAGCCATGGAGAAAACGGAATGTGGTCTTTTGTGCCAGTGTGTCTCAAAGGGGAGAAGGGAGGGAATCCATCTTAAAAGATGGTGCATCCTGGGGCCAATCAAAGTCTTGGAAGGTACTTCCTGGAAGGGGGGAAAAAAGTCTGTCTGTCCCACTGGGAAGTGGCAGATAAGCCTGAAGAGTTTCCACAGCACAATTCAAGTGCATTATTTTAAAAAGGTTGGGGTTTTTTTTTTAACAGTATTTTTAAGGAGACCAGATTTTTTGCAGCAGGCTGTTCTTAGACCCGTTCGCTGGGCCCCATTTTCTGGCCCAGAGTCTTCTATTGCAAAATATAAATCTCCATATTATGAGCTCATTCTACTCTTCCAGTCCGCCGGCCCTGCCGCGCATTGTGCGTCTTGCTCGTCGGATGCACAAAGGGCAGTTGGTGAAGAGCATGCTCTGTGGAATGTGACAGCCGAGGGGGGAGCCCCTGCAGACCGTGGATGTGAAAGGGTTGAGCACTGACCTAGCCAAGTGCCGATGTTTACAAGTGTTTCTTTTCTTGGTGCTGTGTCGCTGCCCAGACTGTGGGATCAAATAATAAAAAGCAAGCAGATTCTGGGAAACGAGGTTTATTGTGCAATTTGAAAAAAAAAA